CATCATTTCCCCCTTGGCACTGGGCTTCCTGTGAAGCTTTACTCTTTTTTCTTTTGCCGCCATTGCTGAGTCTGCCTGGCATTTCATATTTTGGTTTGGGGAAAAGTTAAAAGAATTCACAATCCCAGCTGTCACTTTGGTGACCCCTTTGCCAGTAGCATATGGCACATTCTCATTTCACTGACCTAAGGAAAAAAATTACCCACCTATCATTATTCTCTTTGCTCTGCTTTATTTTTCTTCACTATTCTTATCACCCACTGCCTTAACAACACACTGTTATTTGTCAGGTCTTCTTCCACCTTGCTAGAAGTTCCATGAGAACACTTTTGTTCACTGCTGAATCTCCAGTGTCTGGGACAGCACCTGCACATGTGTAACCACTTGCCACAACCATGGTGTGGAATATTTCTCTCACTTAGCGCTCCTTGCAATCTGTCCTCTCCCCTCCCACTGGCAACCACGGGTCTGATTTCTGTCCCCATTGTTTCACCTTTCCAGAATGTCACATAAGTAGGTTCATGTCGTATGTAGTCTTTTGTGTCTGGCTTTTTTCTCTTAGCATAAGGCTTTTGAGATTTCTCCCATGCTGTTGAATATATTAGTAGTGTGGTCCTTTTTTATTGCTGAGTAGTATTCCATTTTAATTTATTCACTGATTTATGGATCTTTGGATTGCTTCCAGTTTGGACTGTTGTGTGTATGACTTCTGTGGATGTTCACATACAGGTCTTTGTGTGAACGTATGCTATCATTTCTTTCAGGAAAATACCTAGGACAGGATGGTTGGGCTGTATCATAAGTCTGTGTGTAATTTTACAAGAAACCACCAGAGTATTTAACAAAGTGGCTGTTCCATTTTCATTCCTACAAGCAGTGTATGATAGTGCCAGTTGCTTCTTATACTAATACTTTAAAATTTAAAAAATTGTAGTAGTTCCAGTGGATGTGTAGTGGTATCTCACTGTGGTTTTAATTTTCATTTTTTCTACAACTAATAATTACTTATTTGAGAAGGTCATGGTTTAGCAGGCTGTGGTATTCTCTAGGTATTTAATAATTTTAAGATATCAGTGGCATTTGAAGTGAAAATTTCTTTTAAAAAATTGGCCAAAGATGTAACTGGTCACTTCCATGAGGTCATACTGTACAAAAAAGATTGGGGTGTGGAAAATATGTTAAATTTTGGCAAAGAGTGATTCACCTGGGTGACTGATGTAGAGACCTGGAGAGGACATGCCTAGGACTTGGCATAAAGGTGGGGAAAATGCAGGTTTCTTGGCTCCTCTGGCCTTGGGAGGGCCTGCTCCATCCTTAGCTAAACCTGTGTTTGTGGGAAGCCAACCTGGATTCAGTGACACTTTCCTGGATATCCCAGGAGTCACCAGCAATCCTCACGGCTGTCCCCAGTGTGGGGTGAACATAGACCCCCCTCCCTGGGGACAGTTTGCCTTAATCAGTTCATCAAGCTTGATAAATCGTTTACCATAGGCCCAGGAGTGCCACCACCCTTCCATCCTGAATCCCTATTTCTCATGTCCATCTCATAGTTAATTAATTAAGCAAATATTCCCTGAGGGCTTACTCTGTGCCTTATACTGTTTTGCATGCTGGGGAAAACTGCGGTTAAGAAAGAGAAATGATCCTGTGGACTCAGAAAGTGGCAGAAACGATGCAAGGGAAAACAGAGGCTGCCGTGAGTGCATCTAGGAGGGGTTTTTAAAGAGATGTGAGTGCAGGGGAGGTTTCAGGACAGGACCCTGTGGTTGAGGAAGGTTTGGCCCAGCTGACAGTGCTAGAAGCAGCCATTCAGGACAGGGAACATGCAGGAGGCCCAGTGGTAGCAGAGAGGGCTGCCCATTTGGAGCCATGAGTAGTTTTCTGGGGCTTGGTTTAGAAAGTGGGGAGTGATGAGAGAGGAGGCTGGAATCACTGGGGACCCAGCTAAACCAAGGTGAGGATTGCACTTTATTCCCAGGGCAGTGGGGTGCTGACAAAGGCAGTTTTAAGTGGGAGAGTGGCTTGTTTGGAACTTTGGTTGAGTGGCATCACTTTGGTTTCTCTGTGATAAATGGATGGAGGGGGCAAGACTGGAGGCAGGGAGTTCAGGGAAGTGGCTGCTGTGGTCGTCCAGGAGCCGGAAGAGGGTGGCCTATTGACTGGCCATGACTGTGAAGCGGGACGCTTTCCAGCCAGTAACTGGAAATGGGCACAGGGGCAGAAATGAGTGTGCTGCTAGCTTTGAAGCGTTGAGAAATCTAGTCAATACATAGTACGGCCTTCTTTTTGGTTTTGGTTTGTTTGTTTGCTTCCTTGAAAAACTGATGTAGAAATGTCCCTTTGGCCTCAGTTACCTGAGCAGAGGATTTGGGCATTGCCAAAACCTCCTCTTTGGATAAATTGCTCCCAGCAGTGGTCACCATGTTGAGGTGGGAGGAGGGAATTATGCAAGAGGCCCAGGGCTATGCCAAGGTGGGTAGGAAAGTGGGGCAAGTACCCGGCGAAGCTGGAGCAAAACCTTCTACCGCTGCACAGGCTATTTCTTGCTGACGTCGCTGCGTGTCTCCTGGAGGGTCTCTGAAGCTAGGATCCATGTCTGGAAATGCAGAAACCCCGCTTTAGGAAAATACTCTCCAAAAAACTTCCTCCTGGCCGTTCTCTTCTCGTGAATATCCTGCAGAGGTGTGTCTTCTTTTCTTCTGAGATTCTCCACTCAGATTTAGGGGAGTCTGTGTCCTGGTTTGAGCCTGAGGGTCTTTAATACTAGGCCATTCTGATTTCATCCTTCCTACTTTGTCCCTCCTACCTTGTCAGAAACCCATGATGAGTTTGCTAAAAATGCTGCTGCTGCTGCTGCTAAAAATAATGGAGTAGAAAAGAATGCTTGGACAGGAGATAACCATTTCTCTGTAAGAGGTAGGGATGGACCAGAGAAAGAAAAGTGGGGAGGAGGGAGCTCATTTCTTTGCCACTTACAGCCTGCCATATACTTTGCTGGGGAACTTATATATTTATTTATATTGTCTCATTGACAATTGAATATCTATTGAATATCCTGCAAGGTAGGTATTGTCACCCCCATTTTACACTGAGGAAATTGATGCTCAGAGGGCATAAAGTTTTGGCCAAGGGCACATAGTTGAGAAGCTGGGCCTAATTCCTATCTAAGCTCTCGTTCCTTTTTAAACTATAAACTTATGTTCCAACCTCCTCATTGTTACTTTGAGGACCTGAAAAGATTTGTGTAGCTTCTAAATCAACTAAGTGATTCCTGGAGAGCACCTTTTGAATCAGGAAAATCTAGCTAATTATTTATTTCAGTGTTTCTGGAATGCAAGCCCTGTCCCAGGCCACTTACAAAATGATTTAGGATTACAAGCATGAAGCTCACAACCAAATTTTGGCTCTCAGCACTCAGAGAGACCAGGGGCCATCCTTAAACAACAAATTGTGGAGGGACACAGTGCTGGTTTAATTATTTTTAGTGAGAATTTTTTTGGGGAGGGGCGTCTGTGTTCATTTACAGGTTTGCTGAGCAAATGATAAAGAAAAGAAAGGTCTTAAGGCTTGACTCTTTCAGAGGAATCCCAGATTTGTTGGCTTATCAATGAGTGAATTAAAATACATAATAGTAGAGTCAGTGATTCTTCTCAGACACTGTAGACTGCTTACGTTCCCATTTCTTTTGTAGAAGTTTTTAATCCAAGTCCTTGTGCTGTGGGGGCCAAGAGGGTGAAGTCCTGCTAGAGGTTGACCTTTGCATTGAGGTCTGTTTGGACTCACAGACTTTTAGTCCAGTACTTAGTTTTGTATCCACAAGCAGTCACTACATTCTAAGCCCTTTCTGCTCTTTGTTCCTCCTGCCTAATCTCCCATCCCCACCTCCATTCCACCAGAGACCACGATGATTAAATGAGCCATTTTAGAGGTAACGTTGGTTTCTTATTTCTGCTAAGAGTTCCTGGGTGTGAAGTGGTGTCAGGGCTTAGCTTTGACCTGTGTATCCCTCCCTTCTCCCAGTTTTTAGTTTCTGCCTTTTCCCTAGCTTTAATTTTACTGTGACTACTGGGATTACTCCAGCATTAAATAAATACTGTTGTTGAGGGGCAACGGGGACACGCGGAAGGTTGTTTCTGGTTTATGAGAGCCGCCCCTTTCCCCAGCATGGCAAATCGGTCCTCCAAGGAGGCATCTGTGACACCTGACAAGGGTTAGGTGGGCTCACGTGCAGGTGGAGCGAGGCCAGAAGTGTGCATATGTCCAGACAGTGGGAACTTGTCAGTTTCACAGCTGATGCTCTCTGCCTGCCTTGGCTGCCTTGTCTTACTCCATGGGATATTGTTTTCTCCCCACACACAGAACACTTGGGGTTGTCCTCCTTACTTAGGAGCCAGGTGTCCGTGACATTTCCTTGGTGTTTACTCACAGTCATCTAAGACACACTGTGACTTTTCAGATTAGGAAACTGCTCTGTCAGTGGTGCCATTTATCATTGGAAGGACTCAACTTTGTGGCGAGATGAAAATGTAGTCTGCAGCAAATTTCAGACAATAGTGTAAGTCACTCCAGGTTCAAGGCAAAATTTATAAATGCTGCTGACATTTTCTGAGAAGGAAGGCATTTTCTTAGAGAAGGGAGGCAGGTCTCTGGGATTTCAGTATGCCATTTACAGCTCTGGTGTTTTGGGCACGTAAGATTGATCACTTAGGTCTGCCTTCAATTTTTCATTTTTTTCAATTTTTCATTCCCAGTGGTCTCATCAGTGGAGCTCCAGTGATTCAGATAATAATGACTTACTCGCAGACTAATGCCAGAAAAGCTCCAGCATGCCCGTTTACCAGAGACCCAAGGCTGGAAGTCAGGGACTCATGCGTTATGGAGAAGTAGTCATGGGACAGAACTGGGTTTTGAGGGCTCAGGTGAGGGGGCTGGTGCAACAGCCCTCACTGGCGTATGGCTTTGCAGCAAAAACTAACATCCCCTCTTGCTTTATCTTTCAGTTAATGACCAGCCACAGCTTCCCTGCTGTGAGCTGCAGCCGCTTCCTTCCCAGGCCCCTGGAGCCACACGCAGGCTGCCCTGGTGCTGGCTGAGGTAACATGGCTTGCTGGCCTCAGCTGAGATTGCTGCTGTGGAAGAACCTCACTTTCAGAAGAAGACAGACAGTAAGCCTGGGTTTCTCCGGGGGTCCTCCCCTGCTTTTCTTCCTGATTTTGAGTTGGGGGTGAAGAAGGGGGCGGAAAAGAGATTCTTCTTGTTTTTTTAAATTTATTTATTTTAATTGGAGGATAATTCCTTTACAGTATTGTTCTTCTTGGTTTTCTTAAAGTGATTGAATGTGTCTGGCGCTGGTGGACCCAGGACTGTGTGGGGTCCTGACTTAGCTAGCCCTGCCTCTTATCATAGGAGGCAGATTTGCAACCAGGCGGCGATCATAGCTTTTGTTTGCGCTAGTGCCCAGGCCTGAGTTCAGACCCCTGGAGCCTGGCACACATTGCCCCTTGGCCATCTTACTCCTAACTTTTGCTGCAGCCCTGGGGGCTGCCTGGCTCTCCAAGAACTCCTAATGATCTGGGTGGTGGAGTTGAAGTGAGTTCATGGCCCAGCTCTTAGAGGTCAGAGACTGAATCTTTTAGTATGGACTCTCCCCTTTCAGCTTGGACTGCGAGCCTGGAGGAATACAAAACAGATTTGTTTTATTTCTGTGGAGGGTTCTATGCCATCACTTCTGGATGAGACACTGATCCTTTCAAGAACCCTAGGAATGCCATCTTTAACACTTGGTGAATGATATTTTTCTGTGAGAAGGTACAAGCTATAAGGCCCAGAGATTTCTCTGAAGCTCTGATATCAGCTCTTGACTTCTCCCTCCCTGGACACCCCTAGAGATCCTGTCTGGTCTCCTGCGTTCAGCCGCACCTCTCTATAGCTGACTTCTAAATGTCTGTTTCCTGCCCTGCATTTTCCCCTTAATTCTAAGTCTACATCCCCTTTTGGCTGTCCTCATGAAGCTTAACACACCTGCAACAGAAATGACCATCCTCTTTAGACTCAAAGAGCCAGAAGGGATCTTGGAGATAACTTAATTCACTGTTTCTGAAACTGGCCCTTCTTTAAAAGAGCAAATATGTCAAGGTCCCCTTGTGTTCACCAAACATATTTTTTATTATAATGTTTTGTGAATATGTACGTATGTGAAACTAGATATAAACCCTTTATTCTTATAGACTGTCGTGCGAACATATGACCTGTACAGATTTATAAATTAAGTGCAAACAAAATTGCAGAACCAGTACAGTTCAAATTAACACTGTTAATGTAGTAAGGCGACTGACACTGTTTGAAGCTATATTTGACACTGGAGGCAGCAGTGTGACTATGGTAGTGAACACTTACTTGTTTGAGTTTGGACAGCCTGTATTACCATGTGCTAATGATTCAGTTTTCCAATGATTTTCCAGTTTTTCCAGTGACTTTCGTTGGATATCATTTGTTTTCATTTGGTCCGGTCTCATCATTCACAAATTGCTTCTGCACCTGTGCCTTTCTCACTGGTCTACTGCAATCACATTGGTGCTAAAGTGAAGTTGCTTGGTCGTGTCTGACTCTTTGCAGCCCCATGACTGTAACCTACCAGGCTCCTCCGTCCATGGGATTTTCCAGGCAAGAGTACTGGAGTGGGTTGCTATTTTCTTCTCCAGGGGATCTTCCCAACCCAGGGATCGAACCTGGGTCTCCTACATTGTAGGCAGATGTGTTTACCATCTGAGCCACCAGGGAATATTGGTGCTACCACAATGGCAAACACAAATAGAAACTTAGACTCGTGATCTTGTGCCAGAACTTGGCTGTAAAGTAGGCATTCAGAAAATCCAGGTATGTTTATTCATATTTCCTTAGATGACCATTGAAATGAAAACACAAAGTGTTTAAAATCCTGACAGAGAACTCATATAATCCTTTATGGAATTATATATATTATTTGTATATATATATATACTAGTTTCAGAAACACTGACTATTTTTCAGTCCCTCATATTACATGTAGGGAGCTGAATCCCAAGGTCGTTTAATGAGAGAGTAGGAATATGAATTTATTTATCCTATCTGTCTTGATTAATATTAATGATACTAAAATATAACAATATTACATAATATATAATATAATAAAAGCAAACACTTAGATTTCACTTCCATGTACTAGGCACTAAAGTGAATTGTTAACTAGATTAATCCTTTTAAGATCCACAAAGTACTGTTGTTTCCTTATAACACAAAATGCCCAGTGTTCCCCAGTGTTATAACTGGGGAACTTAAATCACAGAGAGAATATAAGTAACTTGTCTGAGGTTCACACTGCTAGTCAGGGGCATATGTAGTGTTCAGTTCTAAATAATCTGACTCTAGAGTTGGTTCTCTAAACCACTATGTCAGATTGCTCTTCAGTGGTATTAATATTTTTTCTATCTTCAGTCTCAACATCTTGAAGTTTCTAACCTCTTCCTTACCTTTGTGCCTGCCTCCCACGGCTGTACCCAGGCCCTGGTGTTCCCAAGACCTCTGCATTCATTTCCTGGTCTCATTTCTTAGCTGCTCTGTGGTCCAGGTCCCCAGTCTCTTCTTATCATGTTGGCAGCAGCCCATGTGATGGGGAACTGTCTTTGCTGTGCTGTGTCTGTTAGCCAGTGAGTAGTGGAAAGAACTATATCATCTTAACAATGCAAGGTCTCAAGGGTAATCCAGCCCAAACCTGTCATTTTACAGATAAAGCAGGGAAGGGATTTCCCCAAGGTCAACTAAGGAATCAGGAGCACAGGGTCCCAGAACAGGACTTGGGATTTAAGGAATCAGGAGCACAGACAGGGTCCCAGAACAGGACTTGGGATTGGGCCATCTAGACTGGGCTAGTGTCTGTTAGTCTTGCTGCTTCTTACTCAATATTGCTTATCAGTTTAAAATGAGCTACAATTAGAGAGATAGGCAGGCTTCATAAAAGGCAGTTTTTGGCCCTGTGGCAGGGTTCTTATTGAAGGGGAAGTAAGACGTAGCGTCCTGACACAGAAGGACTTTTTTAGATATACACCTACGGTCTGCTAACTTGTCTGCTTTACCGCCCTTCCTAATTTCTACAGGAAATGTGTTTTGCTGAACTAGAAAAGAAAAAAAGGTGGTTTATTTCAGGTTGCCAAAGTTTAGGTTGTCAGGGTTGGAAAGATCTGACCTGACCCTTGTACAGTTGATGGGAATGGGGTTTTGGGTGTGGGGCAAGGGGTCCAGAGTGGATCAGTCATGGAAGTAGCACCAGAATCAATTTCCTGATGGCCCTGGAAGCACAAGTTCTTTTGAGCAGGCTTTGCCTTATCTGCACAGGAGGTTTAATACCCATGGATCTCAAGTGCTGACTGTAGCTACTTCCAAGTGCAAATGGCTTGGATCTATAGATACATTGATTGTAGACAGTGAGACCTATTTAGGGTCTTGGTTCCACATTGTTAGCTCAGGACATGCCCTGCCCTGTAGGCAGGGGAAGGAGTTAGCAGCTCATGACAGGTCTCACCTATGGTGTACAGAAACCTTGCTTAATTTCCCCCTTCAGAGATCCTGGATGTACTTGCTTGGCTCCATAGCCTGGCACTGGGGATATGCTTAACAAGCATTTGCTCAATGAGGGGTGAATGTGTGAAATGGGCCATTAGTTAATAGATCTTAAGGAGGCACCCCTGCTAGAGGGGTCGCATGTGCAGGGAGACAGGAAGAAGATGTAGGAGCTGGGTGCTGAGCAGTAAGCCCCAGAGCAACCTTCTTGAAAGGTGGCCATTTGCCCTTTCACTCTGTGTCCTCATTTGCTAATGAATTTGGGGGCCCTCTTTTCTTGTGCCCCCATTATGCAGACTCATGGGGACCATCAGCCAGGGGTAGCTTTCTGCTGCTCCTATTGGGCAAAGAATACATTGAAAATGAGTTGCATAAGTTGGGTGCAAAGCTCAGTTTGGGTCCAAAGTAACAGTTAACTTGTGTGGGTTGGTGGTCAGTGAGCACAAACAGGGCTTGGGACAGGAAAGGCGAGGGGCTTCGGAGTTCTCTGGATCCCCATCTGGTTTTAGGCTGAACCAGAGACCAAGGTCCCTGTGGAACAGATGGGACAGAGTATGGCCATATGGCCTTTCTTTTTTGCCTTTGCTGTTAATTTTCTCACTTAGATTTGTTTAGCCATGTGGCTGAGGAAATAGATAATTTTATTTTCTGCATATTTTAGAGTATCAATATTTGGGCACTGTTTAGTGACAAAGAATAAGCAATCAAATAAATACAAATTGAGTCCTCATTTAAGAGCCTTTGGATAATTTTACAGTGTAGATGCAAACTTTTGGCATTCCCTCCCAGCTTCCAGTTTCACCTGATACATTTCTTCTCTGTCCTTAGTCCTGGACTGGCAGTGCTTGTTCAAATCCAGCTAAATAATGCTAATTATTATCTGATTCTAATTCAATTCTAATTCCAGCTTGGCCACTGTATGCCTTAATGGCTTAGGGAAACTCATTTTCCCTGACTTTTAGTTTCCCCTTCTATGAAATGAGGACAGTTAGCACAAATAGGCATTTATTGTTTCCTTTGAATAAATATTTACTAAACATCTACTGCATGTAAGACAGTGTCCTGGGTGTACAGTGGTGAAGCAGACAGACAGGATCCCTGCCCTCGTGGAGCTTACAGTTCAGCCAGAGAAGCAGATAAGAAGCATGTTGTCACATACGTAGAAATATCATAGCTGTGGTTAGTTGTTTTGAGGGAAAAAAAAAAACCTGTCCTACTATGTCAGTTACCACTAGGCTGTGGGTAGGGACTTAATTTAGCATGAAAGGTCATGACATTTAAGCTGAGAGCCTTGATGTTCAATTCAAGCAGCAGTTAGCCAGGGGAAGAACAGGAGCTCAGCCATCAGGGGCACTGGCTTCCAGGCAGAGAGACAGGGTGTGAAGGCCACGTGCCTAATGCATGTCCTGGAGCCAAGGGACAGGAGTGCCAGTGCACTGAAGGAAGACTGGCTGGGGGTGAGTTGGGAGTCAGCAGGGTCAGATCATGGAGCTGGCGAGGGACAGCTGAATTTTATGTAATGTGCAAAAGGAGTCCCTGAAGTAGGTAGGTCATGATGATGAGGGTCAGA